ACTCATTTTGTAGCCAAGATTTCTCACTATTCTCGAATCAAGTTCCTTAAACATTGTAGAAGTCACTTTAAGCTTTACAGAGACTGAGCTTCTGTGGTGTAGCTTATGTAACTTTCTACAAAGATAGAAAAAATATTCCATTTTGCTTTAATTTGTACCATATTTGCTGATGTTGTTATCCTTTGTGTTGATTTTGTAATCAAAGTATTTAAGTTTTTATCTTCTGATTTATTTTTAGTTCAATTGATGTGTTATGTTGATTTGAAAGGAGGGTTTATCTTTGTTTAAATTTGTTATGCATAACAATTTTTGAACGAGTACCGAATTTTAAAAATAATTTTAGAATATGTTCAACATTCATAATACTGAGAACTAACCATATTTATAAGAAGAAGTGCTTTGTGACATTTTGATATTTGGATATATTATTTTTTAATATTTAGTTATGCTTTTTTCACCTTAAGAATGTATATATTCACAGCATGTGACGGCTGATGAAAGCACATGTTAAGCACATGTAATGCATGTGTAATGCACCTGTAAGTACCATTTATATATTTTATATTCTGTACACACATGAAACACCATGAACTGAATCGGGGAGATGGTACGGAACTCTTCAGTGTCACTACGGTTACATGTTTGATTACATGAGAATGAATTTCCACGAATGTTTTTTTATAGCTAATTACCAACAGAAGGTATTATTCAAGCAAACAAAAAAACTCTTTATCAATTAATGATTTTATATATCATTGCATGCAAATAAGAAGGAATTTAAAATTTCAGAGCCCTGTAAACCAATGTTACAGTAAATGTCTTAAGATCTTAATTACAGTTTTTGTTTTTGTTTTTTTTCATTGCTGTAAAATTTTCAAATATTGATCAACTTAAAATGTTTCACTTTTAAAACCATCTGTTATAAAGTTAAGAAGATGACCTTTACTGAGTCAGTATATGTATATACTTGTTATATGACATTGGAAGAATTCATAAGAAGGATTTGGTAAGTTTTCTGTTTGATGCAATAGTTTTCTCCCTTGTTCAGTACACGGTAATTGCCTGATAAAACAACACTATAAATGCATTATGACTTTGTATTCAATGTATTTGTTTTTGAGAGCATTAAGTGTCAAAATCATTTTCATGATATGGCTGTTAATACATTATTTAATCACAATCATTTTTTAATATAGAGTAAAATAAACTAAGATTATAGCTTTTCTTCTCTTTGAATATAATGTTTTACTTGTTTTTTTATGATATGATTCTTATGTAAGTTGTGTAAGAATTAATATGAATACTTTGTTTATGCCAGTCTAGGACTTAATCACTGTTAAATAGGTAAAACTGTTCACAATGACAGCCTTGATTTTTTCTACTGGAATAATTGATACATTTATCTGTAAAATATATTCCATGTTGGTTCCTTTTCCTTATAGTCCATTTTGAAGGCAATAGGTCACCATGTATAACTGTTTATGTGTTTCAGCTGTCGCCTTCCAGCCTCGGAAGCAATTTTACATCACCTATCATGGACAACTGTAACACTTTATCCTATCCTTTATCATATATTCCCTCCTCTGTTAATCCATTTTTTCTCACTTTTCCAGCTATATATTTAGAGTATGATTGATTTCAAAAGGATCTTTTTCAATATCGTAATGTTTATTGTGGTGTAAGTTGTTATTGTTAACTTATATCCCTAACAACACTTGTATATTTGGTGGCAAAATAACCACTTAAAATTCTGTTTAATCCATTTTTGTTTGAAACAGAAATGTCCATATCAAAGATAACCTGTCAAATATGCATGTTCACAACTTCTTTTCATCATAGATATTGTATCAAAAATATTTCATATTTGTTTGATTGCATAATAACACAAAATTTAAATGTATTTACTGGTGCAGAATCCAGAAATGTTGTTATAGAGGCTAAACCTGTATAAAATGATACAGAATTCTTCCCGAATATAACCCTGTTAACAAGAGGAGATAACTCTAGTTTGTAATATCTAGGGTTTAGAATGATCTCGGAGACATTATGTTCAATTTTGATACTGTTTACATGTAATATAAGTATAAATATCCACTTATAAAAATATATTGTATATAAATGTTTCATTTTCCAGTTTTGAATTAATTAGATATGAATATATAATTATATAGAAAAAAATATCAAACAGGAAACTGGTTGGTAATTTTTGCTCCAGACCCCAAAACTTGCTCAATTATGAATGGTTTTATGGCATAAAAGCTCAATTTTCACATTTATATTATCCCTCACTGAACGGTGATTGTAAAACTATTTTTCTATTGGTATTTTTTCCCTACCAAAACACAGTGTTTTCTTTATCTTTTTTAAATCGTGCCCCAGTTTCATAAATATTCCTTCACTGAATTAGGACAGACATTCTAATGCGGGTGAAATTTTCACCAACGGCAGTAGTGCTTCCCTGTAGAGTATTTAGTCAAATAATTCACCTTTAGAAATATACTTATGAACCTGGGACCAGAAACCTTGACCCGTTTGGGATGCTAACCGTTTTTACATTAGATAACATAGTCTTAATTATGATAGAACTATTTTTTCATCTTTCTTACAACTGAAATTATTTATCAAGTATATTTCTACCGGTTTTCTTGTCATTATTGCTATATATTTGCTATTGTTTACCCTGTATGGGTGTAACCTTTTGTGTGAGATATTTTTTTGTATCCATATATTATATCAGTATATTGTAAATTGTAATATTGTTTGCCCTACTTATTTTCCCCCTAAAATAATGAAATATATCATTGTCCTGTGTTGAATTGGCCCTATAGTTTGACACCTATCTTACTGTAAGTATCTGAAAAATTTACAAAACATCAAAACTGATCTGATTACTCCTGAAAAGAGTTAAGACTGAAAAGAAAAAGATTGAAATTTAAGCCAAACCTGGACAATTTACAGTATTGCTAGACAGAGTAAATTTATAGTTGGAGTATTTGTGTATTTTACAACTGTATATTGGACAATTCTCAATATCAACAGTCTCCTGTATGGAGCATACTTAACAATTTGATGGAATCTAATAAATAGCCGATTGAGCTAAAACAGACGTAAAATCATGGCATTAATATTGTGTCAGTAATTTTGGAAGTTTTTCAGGATGGTCCACTGGAATGTTTATTTGTGAATTATTTTGAGAAAAAAATATGTATAAAATATTGGATAGAATTTATCTTACATCAAGTTATTTCTAATGTTCAATTTTTTTCCTATTTGATTTTGTTTTAGCATTCGTTTGTCTACGAATTTAAAAGTATTCTTGACATGTTGAAGTTAAGAAATGAAATGCAGAGAAATTACATGAGTGTGATTGTAATGGAGGAACAATAACAAGGTGCTAACACAAACGTCATACTTACATTTAGATAGGTATCTCATATATGATATTACTTTTCAACTATTCGAAGTGCAAACATATTTCAGCACTTAATCTTATTTTTCTTCTTTTTTTCCCAAGGAATTAGTATTCAACTACTTAGCAATCTATTGCTTTGAAATAGAAATTAGTGAAATAATTGTGTATAATAATTTAATTTGGAATTACAAATTTAATAATGATATTTTTGTTGTAGTATATTATTTCACTGTTTTTCCAATTTTTTTCTTCTTTTAAAATTGGTAAAAAAAAGGAAATGTAAATATTTTATTATGTTATAGTATAACTATTTTTTTATTTTTTTTTTGTATACTTAAATATCTCATATTTCATTTGTGCTATTTATAACTCTAGAATACTTATCATTGAACATAGTTGTCTCCCCTTAGGTGACAAAAAAAGACTTACAACAAGTTATGTTGGAATTTTATAGCTTTACGTATAATGATCCCTTTATCTGAATGCAATTTAACCTGTACAATGCCTTTTCTTTTTGTGCTTGCTGAACTTTAAGCCCATTAAAGTTGTCATGAAGCTTTTAACAATCCTGTCTGAGTTGTCTTTCCTGGGTTCATACATATCTGTGAGCTGTCTTTCCTTGGCTTACACACAGTGTGAGTTGTCTTTTCTTGGCTCACACACATAGTGTGAGTTATCTTACCTTGGAAGCAATTTCAAAGTGCTTCTCTGCTTATTGTTCTTTTTTTTTACTGAAATTCAATGTTAAAAGCTATTGTCTGTTTGAACATATCTCAAAGATACGGCAGACAAGTGACCTTGACCATGAGGATAATTCCCTTTTACCTAGCTAGAACTAGAGAGAGAACAATACACAAAGTTTAATCTTTGTGTAATTGTTGTTCTAGGGAATTCTGGGGAATGCAAAGAATCCTATTGACACTTAGCTTGACCATTTAAGGGTCAAAGTCACCTGCTAAAAATAGAGTGTTGTACCTAGTAAGTATGAGAAAGAATGATCACTCAAAGTTTAAACTTGGTGTCAGTGGTGGATACATATTTTGTAAATAATACATAATAGTTGTAAGAGAGGAAGTTGTGGATGATTGAATGAATCTGACGTAACATTTTGTCCACCGTGGGTGAGAAGGAAACGGGGTTTACTGCCACGGCTGTATGACCTTCCTGTGGTAAGTACTGTAGATAGAACAGCTGTACAGTTTGATGGAACAGCCTCAGTTCTCACTCCAAATCCATGTACAAATACTGGCTTGATTACAAGATTAACAGAAAAATCTAAATTAAACCATCTGTTACAGAAAAAATATAAACAAGTATGATAAAAGAAACAAATATGTTTATGAAAATTAGAAACATGTATTAGTGAGATAGTTCATTTGAGCCAAGCAATTTACTAAAGCATTCATTTTTTCTTTTTTTGGTGGGGAAAAAAAATTGACAAAGGTATTATCCACCAACCTTATATCTGTGAATTATAATCTGCTTACATCTTATATAAGTTTTACAAAAGTGTGTAAAGGTATACTAAAAATCAGATAAAATTACTCATATCGTGATAACCAATTACATTTTTGCATTAATATTTCAGGAAAGTATGAGGAAGACCGTTTTGAGTCCTCATCATCATCATCTTCATCTGAAGATGAAGCTCCACCTGCAAAGACGAAATCAACAACGATCACAGGATATGAAGATGAAGTAGAAGATGAGCCCCCTGTCAGAAAATCTAAATCCAAAACGGGCCTGGATCACACACGAAAGGTAAGGACATACTCCAATCTCACTTATATTACCCCATTCACCCCTAAAGTCACGAAAGGAAAGGACATACTCCAATCTCACTTATATTAACCCATTCTCCCCTAAGGTCACGAAAGGTAAGGACGTACTCCAATCTCGCTTATATTAACCCATTCACCCTCAAGTCACGAAAGGTAAGCACATACCCCAATCTCACTTATATTAACCCATTCACCCGCAAGTCACGAAAGGTAAGCACATACCCCAATCTCACTTATATTAACCCATTCACCCGCAAGTCACGAAAGGTAAGCACATACCCCAATCTCACTTATATTAACCCATTCCCCCCTAAGGTCACGAAAGGTAAGGATATACTCCAATCTCACTTATATTAACCCATTCGCCCCTAAAGTCACGAAAGGTAAGGACATACCCCAATCTCACTTATATTAACCCAGTCACCCCTAAGGTCACGAAAGGTAAGGACGTACTCCAATCTCGCTTATATTAACCCATTCACCCTCAAGTCACATTGGAACCTTACCAAATCAAAGACCGAGCTAGTCCATTTTAGACATGAAGGGGTGAATGAGTAAAGGCGATATGCTTTACCTATGATTTATCCTAGAGTTATATCTCTTTAACTGACCAAAGTAACATATTGTGTGGCTATGTAGAATATTTTAAGGATAAAAATTATAATAGAGAATGTTACATTCTTGAACTGTTGTTTAAGTTTGTTTGGGTTTTAAAACCAAAATTAGTCTTAGGGTGGTATAGATAGTATTAGGTAGTCTGTGACAGTTTGGTCACACTGGTATACACTGGCTGGAATAAACTGGCATGTCTTTAAGATACAGTTCCCATGATGTGCTAACCTGAAATATCACACTAACATAAAGAAATACAGTTCCATCTGTAAATGATACTGTTCCTAATTCCAGATTGAGGCATTTTCGTCTGATAATGAAGATGAAGATGAAAACACCAGTGCAAGTATGTATGTTACCATGGTAACTTCAAAAGTTTCCATGATAATCAATTTTAGTCTGTTATTTCGCTAGTACTTATTTCCAAACTTCTGCACTCTATATATTGTGACTTTTATTGTAATGGTGATGTTTTGATGTTGGAGAAATGTTTTGTCATGTACCATTAAATGTGTGTAGTGTTCAACTTTATTGGAAGCTTGTCAATCTAGACATTTCTGCTTTCTGAAAATTTCTGGTTTTTGTTATTGTAACAAAAGATTGGAAGCAGTAAGGATATTTTAGGTCCTACCAAACATACAGCATCATACTGTAAATCTACCCAAAATAGAGCTCTGAATATCTCCTATCCAACATAGAGCTCTGTATATCTCCTATCCAACATAGAGCTCTGAATATCTCCTACCCAACATAGAGCTCTGAATATCTCCTACCTAACATAGATCTCTGTATACCTCCTACCCAACATAGAGCTCTGAATATCTCCTACCCAACATAGAGCTCTGAATATCTCCTACCCAACATAGAGCTCTGTATATCTCCTACCCAACATAGAGCTCTTAATATCTCCTACCCAACATAGAGCTCTTAATATCTCCTACCAAACATAGAGCTCTTTATATCTCCTACCCAACATAGAGCTCTGAATATCTCCTACCGAACATAGAGCTCTGTATATCTCCTGCCCAACATAGAGCTCTGTATATCTCCTACCCAACATAGAGCTCTGTATACCTCCTACCCAATATAAAGCTCTGTATATCTCCTACCCAACATAGAGCATTGAATATCACCTAACCAACACAGAGCATTGAATATCTCCTACCCAACATAGAGCATTGAATATCACCTACCCAACACAGAGCATTGAATATCACCTAACCAACACAGAGCATTGAATATCTCCTCCCCAACATAGAGCATTGAATATCTCCTACCAACATAGAGCTCTAAATATCTCCTACCCAACATAGAGCTCTGAATATCTCCTACCCAACATAGATCATTGAATATTTCCTACCCAACATAGAGCATTGTATACCTCCTACCAAACATAGAGCTCTGAATATCTCCTATCCGACACAGTGCATTGAATATCTCCTAACCAACACAGAGCATTGAATATCTCCTCCCCAACATAGAGCATTGAATATCTCCTTCCCTACATAGAGCTCTGTATACCTCCTACCGAACATAAAGCTCTGTATATCTCCTACCAACACAGGGCATTGAATATCACCTACCCAACATAGAGCTCTGTATACCTCCTGCCCAACATAGAGCTCTGTATATCTCCTACCCAGCATAGAGCTCTGTATATCTCCTACCCAACATAAAGCTCTGTATATCTCATACCAACACAGGGCATTGAATATCTCCTACCCAACCTAGAGCTCTGTATATCTCCTACCCAACACAGAGCATTGAATATCACCTAACCAACACAGAGCATTGAATATCTCCTACCAAACATAGAGCATTGAATATCCCCTAACGAACACAGGGCATTGAATATCTCCTACCCAACCTAGAGCTCTGTATATCTCCTACCCAACATAAAGCTCTGATATCTCCTACCCAACATAGAGCTCTGTATCCCTCCTACCCAATATGAAGCTCTGTATATCTACTACCCAACATAGAGCATTGAATATCACCTACCCAACACAGAGCATTGAATATCTCCTACCCAACATAAAGCTCGGTATATCTCCTACCAACACAGGGCATTGAATATCTCCTACCCAACCTAGAGCTCTGTATATCTCCTACCCAACATAGAGCTATGTATATCTCCTACCCAACATAGAGCATTGATTATCTCCTACCCTACATAGAGCTCTGTATACCTCCTACCGAACATAAAGCTCTGTATATCTCCTACCGAACATAAAGCTCTGTATATCTCCTACCGAACAAAAAGCTCTGTATATCTCCTACCCAACATAAAGCTCTGATACCTCCTACCCAACATAGAGCTCTGATATCTCCTACCCAACAAAGAGCTCTGTATATCTCCTACCCAACACAGAGCATTGAATATCTCCTACCCAACATAGATCATTGAATATTTCCTACCCAACATAGAGCATTGTATACCTCCTACCAAACATAGAGCTCTGAATATCTCCTATCCGACACAGTGCATTGAATATCTCCTAACCAACACAGAGCATTGAATATCTCCTGCCCAACATAGAGCATTGAATATTTTCTACCCAACATAGAGCATTGAATATTTCCTACCAAACACAGAGCTCTGAATATCTCCTACCCAACATAGAGCTCTGAATATCTCCTACCCAACATAGATCATTGAATATTTCCTACCCAACATAGAGCATTGTATACCTCCTACCAAACATAGAGCTCTGAATATCTCCTATCCAACACAGTGCATTGAATATCTCCTAACCAACACAGAGCATTGAATATCTCCTCCCCAACATAGAGCATTGAATATCTCCTACCCTCCATAGAGCTCTGTATCCCTCCTACCCAACATAGAGCTCATTATATCTCCTACCCATCATAGAGCTCTGTATATCTCCTACCCATCATAGAGCTCTGTATATCTCCTACCCAGCATAGAGCTCTGTATATCTCCTACCCAACACAGAGCATTGAATATCTCCTACCAAACATAGAGCATTGAATATCCCCTAACGAACACAGGGCATTGAATATCTCCTACCCAACATAGATCATTGAATATTTCCTACCCAACATAGAGCATTGTATACCTCCTACCAAACATAGAGCTCTGAATATCTCCTATCCAACACAGTGCATTGAATATCTCCTAACCAACACAGAGCATTGAATATCTCCTCCCCAACATAGAGCATTGAATATCTCCTTCCCTACATAGAGCTCTGTATACCTCCTACCGAACATAAAGCTCTGTATATCTCCTACCAACACAGGGCATTGAATATCACCTACCCAACATAGAGCTCTGTATATCTCATCACCTAACCAACACAGAGCATTGAATATCTCCTCCCCAACATAGAGCATTGAATATCTCCTACCAACATAGAGCTCTAAATATCTCCTACCCAACATAGAGCTCTGAATATCTCCTACCCAACATAGATCATTGAATATTTCCTACCCAACATAGAGCATTGTATACCTCCTACCAAACATAGAGCTCTGAATATCTCCTATCCAACACAGTGCATTGAATATCTCCTACCCAACACAGAGCATTGAATATCTCCTACCCAACATAAAGCTCTGTATATCTCCTACCAACACAGGGCATTGAATATCTCCTACCCAACATAGAGCTCTGTATATCTCCTACCCAACATAGAGCTCTGTATACCTCCTACCCAACATAGAGCTCTGTATACCTCCTACCCAACATAGAGCTCTGTATATCTCCTACCCAACATAGAGCCGTATATCTCCTACCAACACAGGGCATTGAATATCTCCTACCCATTTCATAGCCCTGTTATACCATAATTGGACAAATGATGGAGGAGGGGAAGGCAGTTATATTTTGGTTAACTTGTCTCTTGCACACCAAATCCCAAACAAAAACAATATCATACATACGTCAAAAATTTGATAGAACAGAAAGAAGTGATGTATGATAACTTCAGCAGGCATAGTTTAGCACATACATTACACGTTTTTGAACAAGTCTTGTCACAGCGATTAAATTTTCTGTTTTATCAGCTGAGACATTTGTCATCACAACCAGCACAGCTGATAAACCCTCGGCTGGAACTGATGCCAACGTCTTCATCGTTCTTATCGGGACAAATAACAAATCCACCGGAAAAATCTGGCTGAAGAAGGGAAAGTTCCACAGAGGAAGGTCGGACATATTTACAGAGAAGGTTCCGGACATTGAGAGTCCCGTGAAAGATATTGAGATCGGCCATGATTGTAGTGGGGGTCCAAAACAAACGTGGAATTTACAGGAAGTTCATGTGTACTGCCCCAGAACCGGAATAAAGCAAACATTTCCCGTCTATAAACTCCTCACACCGGAAAATCCAAGTGTCACTGTGTCTGAGCAGAGATCTGTAAGGAAGAACGTGAAAGAGGATGGTGAGGATCAAGTTATTTCCTTTACCTGGTACTAGTGTTATGTCCCTTTATCAGAATGTAACCTGGCACTAGGGTTATGTCCCTTTATCAGAATGTAACCTGGCACTAGGGTTATGTCCCTTTATCAGCGATGAGAACATTTAACTTGAGCTGTTTCCCTTTATAAATCACAAATGAAACATACCAGAGTTATGCCCCCTTTTTCAGAAATTAAGCTTGCACTTCACTTGTTAAATAGACATTGACTTACAATATATATCTGTTATTGGTATAAGTTTGGAATATATAACTATTTTAAAATTTTGCACATACTCAAATGAGCTTCTATATTTTTTTCTTAAATAAAACTGCAAATTATGATAACTTTAACTTGAACAGTAATTAGTTTCAAATCTTTTATTTTTGTTTTAAATTTCTTAAACTCAACCAGCATTGTGGTGTTTTATGTCATCAGATGATGATTTTGATTAATTAGTTTGCAGTTTTATTAATAATTTCACTGTTTATAAAATTTGTACTATCTTAATTTGAGCCAATTTGGCTATAAACAACAAAAAGTACTTCTCAATTTGTGTTTCCTTTAAGATAGCTTTCCCTGTGAACCAGTATGGTTTTCAGTATGAACTAGCTTGCCCTGTGAACCAGTATGGTTTCAGTGTTAACTAGCTTTCCCTGTGACCCAGTATGGTTTCAGTGTTAACTAGCTTTCCCTGTGCACCAGTATGATTTTCCCGTGAACCAGTATGGTTTCAGTGTTAACTAGCTTTCCCTGTGCACCAGTATGATTTTCCCGTGAACCAGTATGGTTTCAGTGTGCATTAGCTTTCCCTGTGAACTAGTATGGTTTCAGTGTGGATTAGCTTTCCCTGTGAACTAGTATGGTTTCAGTGTGAATTAGCTTTCCGTGTGAACCAGTATGGTTTTAAGTGTGAACTAGCTTTCCCTGTGACCCAGTATGGTTTCAGTGTTAACTAGCTTTCCCTGTGATCCAGTATGGTTTCAGTGTTAACTAGCTTTCCCTGTGATCCAGTATGGTTTCAGTGTGAACTAGCTATCCCTGTGAACCAGTATGGTTTTCAGTGTGAACTAGCTTTCCCTGTGAACCAGTATGGTTTTCATTGTGAACTAGCTTTCCCTGTGAACCAGTATGGTTTCAGTGTGAATTAGCTTTCCCTGTGAACCAGTATGGTTTTCAGTATGAACTAGCTTTTCCTGTGCACCAGTATGGTTTTCAGTATGAACTAGCTTTCCCTGTGAACCAGTATGGTTTTCAGTGTGAAATAGCTCTTCCTGTGAACCAGTATGGTTTTCAGTGTGAAATAGCTTTTCCTGTGAACCTGTATGGTTTTCAGTGTGTACTAGCTGTCCCTGTGAACCAGTATGGCTTTCAGTGTAAACTAGCTTTTCCTGTGAACCTGTATGGTTTTCAGTGTAAACTAGCTTTTCCTGTGCACCAGTATGGTTTTCGGTATGAACTAGCTTTTCCTGTGAACCTGTATGGTTTTCAGTGTAAACTAGCTTTTCCTGTGAACCTGTATGGTTTTCAGTGTGAAATAGCTCTTCCTGTGAACCAGTATTGTTTTCAGTATGAACTAGCTTTTCCTGTGAACCAGTATGGTTTCAGTGTGCATTAGCTTTCCCTGTGAATAGTATGGTTTTCAATATGAACTAGCTTTCCCTGTGAACCAGTATGGTTTTCAGTATGAACTAGCTTTCCCTGCACTTCTTTGTTGTCTCTGAATATGAATTATTGTATGTAATCACAACCTTTACCTCTTACTTTTGTGTTATTATTCGTAATCTTGAAAGTGTACTGTATTTGGGTTTATCTATGCGTTCTGTTATATCTTTGATCTATTTTACGATATACATTTTTTCACTAAACTACAACCATGTCATTATCAAACGTTAAATTTTGAACATATTATTAAAAGAAAAATTAAAACCAATATACATAATGTAAAATACGTTTATATTTGAACATCACTTATCTCCTAACAGTGAAATCTGTCTGAAATTAATTATGATGTATCTAAACTAGAAAACAATTTGATGGAGAAAACGTTACTGTAATATCATGTACAGCAGATGCATTCACTTGAAATTAACCAGCATCTTCCTGTAAAATTACAGTTACAATTTTGTAAACTTAACCTGTAACACCAGAAAATTAAATCATGTTTTATCTCCGTAGATTACCCCATGCGTCGGAGCAGTACAAGCAGGTAAGTCACATGACCTAGTGGATATTTTGACTATGATATGCTGTTTGACCTGTTCCATATATTTGAAATAAATTTGAACATTTTAAGGTATTTGAAATGATGCTTGACCTGTTTTATACATTTGAAATAAAATTGGAACATTTTTTGTTATTCTAAATGTCATTTGACCTTTGACCTGTTTTCAGTAGCAGCAGTTCCTCATCCTCTTCATCAGAATCTGGTCGTAAGGCAAAGAAAGAAGTTGCCCTGTCTGTTTCCGTGGATACTAGGACTGAGATGACAGAGTCGACAGAGAGGCCACCGTCCTCAGCTTCGTCCCACTCGATTGATGTGGACTCCCCACGACCTGAAACACCATCTAGGAGATCACCTTCACCAAGGCGACGATCACCTTCCCCTCCTTCTCCTAGGAGACGATCACCCTCTCCTCCGTCACCAAGGAGACGATCCCGCTCCCCTTCTTCATCTAGAAGCAGATCACCTTCACCAAGAAGAAGATCACCCTCCCCTCCATCAACACGTCCCAAATCACCCGAGCGATCCCCAACGCCACCTCGTCGTGAGGAGTCGCCCTCACCTGTACTATCTACTGTAGTAAAAGATGAGCCTGTTAAAGCACAGCTAATTATTGAGAGGAGTAGCAGCACAACCTCATTCTCCTCTGAAACTGAGACGGAATCAGAAATGCCGCAGAAAGAGGATAGGAAATTTATAGGCAAGAAGGAAAAGGAAGTGGAGCCAATTCCCGTCCCTGCTGTGTTCTCCTATGAAACCCCGTTCCAACACAGCGAGAGCAAACAACTAGAGGTACGTCAGGGTATCCAAGAGACACCTCGGTCAGCAACCAGTGGGTCGAGTTCAGACTCTAGCAGTGACTCAAGTGACAGTGAGACCGAGACTGAAACAACAAGATCCCAACCTCCACCTGTCGTTGCAGCAAAGGTCAAGACGGAGGCACCTGTTGTTGTTCAGGCAACTCCAGCTGTAGAGAGAGCACCGAAAGTTGAACCAAAGTCGTCAGAAAGTGAAACAGAAACTCAGACTGAGACTGAGACAGAGACAGAGAGTGGCAAGCCTGGTGGTAAACCTAGCATTGTCCCTATCCTATCTCTGTCCCCCAAACCAGCGGTCAAGGACACTCCAAGGTCAACCACCAGTGATTCTTCGTCTGACAGCGATACAGAGACCCAGACCGAGACTGACACAGACACCAAACGTAGTGTACCACAGCCCCCGAAACCTCCGTCACCAATCGTGGCAACACCAGTCTCGCAAGAAAAGAGGAAATCTGATTCCAGCAGTAGCAGTAGTTCAGGATCAGGTTCTGAAACAGAAACACAAACTGAGACTGATACAGAGAAACAGGGTAGAAAACAGCCGAGTCCCCCTCCACAGCCCCGTAAAAGCCCACCTCCTGTTGCTGAGGTAAAAACTGAAAAAGTAAAGTCCTCAACAGAATCCAGCAGTAGCTCGTCAGGCAGTGATACCGAAACACAAACGGAGACCGATACAGACAGGAAAGCAAGAGTGCCGTCACCCCCTCCAGCTCCGGTAACTGTTACTGCTGAGAAAAAGGAGGCACCGAAGAAAAGCTCAGGTAGGAATCCTAGTCGTCTGTAGTCGCTAGATTAGTAGGTTGTTTCTAATAATCTGGGCCCATATTCATGAAACCATTCTCATGCTCAAGCATGGATTTTGTGCTCAAGCCTAATTTCTGTTCCTGTTATAAATAAAAGAGGAGGAAAAAAAATTGTCAATAATTTTGAAAACAAATTGAAGAGATTTAAAGCCAAATACTGTTTTCAATGTTTGATTTTTTGATCGTTTGACATGATACAAGTGAGTTGCAAGAAAACTGCTTTGAGCACAGAATCCATGCTTAAGCATGAGAACGGATTCATGAATACGTCCCCTGGTAGTCTTTAGTGGTTCCCTAGAACCTAATCTAAAAATAGAACAAAGAAAAACATGGCTCCATCAGAATTACAGTAAATCTTGATTGCATAGAAGTTTTTAAAATGGGATAAGAAGTGATGGGGCTGTAAACAAAAAAAGAATGAATGTTTCACAGATAATTAGGAGGGAGCAGTACTTTATACAATGATTCAGCTTCATTTTGTTTTATAGCTGTAAGTAGTCTCCCTTGTGTATCTAGCTACTATCATCATTAAATGCTTCACTATTGGTATTTTTATTTTTGAATATTTACAAATACAGTAACACCCCGCTTACTCAAACTCTGTGAGACCAGATCAGTAGTTCGAGGAATACACGGTATTCGACCAATCAGAGGTTCGTCCGACATCGTCATGTTTTGATCAGCACTACTACTGCAAATATCGCGGATAGTAGAATGTAGATGTAAGAAGTTAGAATAAGTTTGATAAGGACATCAACATCTAAAAAGATGAAAAATTGCTGAACAATGAAAACGTATAGCCTCAAGGCATATTGATGGTGGTATGTTTATTATACAGGTGCCACTAACTGTTCGACGAATGGATAAATACTAAGGTTTACAGCTATTGGGAATAAATTAGAGTTCGAGGAACACAGGGTATTGGAGTAATGGGAGTCTGAGTAAGCGGAGTTTCACTGTATATCACATGTGGTGTATTTCAGATTAAACACCATTTAACAAGTCTTAGCTATCAGCCGTATAGTTAAAAACCTGTCTATGGTGACCTTCAGTCAATTTCACCTGTTTATAAAGAACATTTCCAGTATATATCACTAACCTGTCTAGAGTGACCATATCCAGTATATATCACTTACCTGTATATAATGACCATCTCCAGTATATATCACTAACCTGTCTATAGTGATCATCTCCAGTATATATAACTAACCTGTACATAGTGACCATCTTCAGTATATATCACTAACCTGTCTAAGAGTGATCATCTCCAGTATATATCACTAACCTGTACATAGTGACCATCTTCAGTATATATCACTAACCTGTCTAGAGTGACCATCTCCAGTATATATCACTAACCTGTCTATGGTGGTCATGGCCAGTATATATTACTAACCTGTACAAAGTGACCATCTTCAGTATATATCACTAACCTGTCTAAGAGTGATCATCTCCAGTATATATCACTAACCTGTACATAGTGACCATCTCCAGTATATATCACTAACCTGTCTATAGTGATCATGGCCAGTATATATCACTAACCTGTACAAAGTGACCATCTCCAGAATATATCACTAACCTGTCTAGAGTGACATCTCCAGTATATATCACCAACCTGTACAAAGTGACCATCTCCAGAATATATAACTAACCTGTCTAGAGTGACATCTCGAGATGTCACTAACCTGTACAAAGTGACCATCTTCAGTATATATCACTAACCTGTCTATAGTGATCATCTCCAGTATATATAACTAACCTGTACATAGTAACCATCTTCAGTATATATCACTAACCGGTCTAGAGTGACATCTCCAGTATATATCACCAACCTGTACAAAGTGACCATCTCCAGCATATATCACTAACCTGTACAAAGTGACCATCTTCAGTATATATCACTAACCTGTCTAGAGTGACCATCTCCAGTATATATCACTAACCTGTACAAAGTGACCATCTCCAGTATATATCAATAATCTGTACATAGTGACCATCTCCATTATATATCAATAATCTGTCTACAGTAACCATCCCCAGTATATATCACTAACCTGTACATAGTGACCATCCCCGGTATATATCACTAACCTGTACATAGTGACCATCTTCAGTATATATCACTAACCTGTCTAGAGTGACATCTCCAGTATATATCACTAACCTGTACATAGTTACCATCCCCAGTATATATCACTAACCTGTACATAGTTACCATCCCCAGTATATATCACTAACCTGTTCATAGTGACCATCCCCAGTATATATCACTAACCTGTCTAGAGTGAGCATCTCCAGTATATATCAATAATCTGTACATAGTGACCATCTCCAGTATATATCACTAACCTGTCTAGAGTGACCATCTCCAGTATATATCACTAACCTTTCTATTTTGACCAAGTCTTTATATTACTATAACTATTTGGCTATGTAACTGCAACCTCATTCCTGGGCATGGTATCCAATAGATAAAAGAATACTAACGAGCTTTTCTTGTTACAATTTTAGATCGGTATAGTCTCTAGGACATTGATCAGACCTTAGTCTTTAGGGTAGTGATAAACCTATTCCGTAACTACCTTATAATGCTAGAAACCTAGACTTCTTAGTATGTATAGTGGAACCTGACTACAACAACCTGACTAAACCAATACACTGTCCTATCTGACAAAATTATTTCTTGTTATTAACAGTCACGTTATCTGACCTGGGTATTACATAACACCGTCTTCAGTGACAACCTCTTCATACTTGCCTCAAGTTTTCTGATGACTTGTATCTATTTTCATGTATTGACATTTGAATTAAATGTACATGATTAAAAAAAAAAAAAACATTGTATCATGTAGTTTATCATTTCTTCATTTCAAGTATATGCCTCATTGTAATGGGAAAAAATCTTCTCATTGCGAAAGGAAACACTGTTCTACCATCTATGTGCAGTAGAACCTTGTTACTCCATACAGCATAGATTCCACATTATGCTATTTCCATGAAAATGAAAATGAACTTGGTGTAGAACTTTGTGGTCCAAGTAACATGAACATGTAACTGTTATGAGAAATACCCAGTATACAGTAATCAATAATGAAATAATTTATCTATACCTAGGTATGGTAAATCATTTTGAATTTCTTATTCATTAATTTTAACTTGGCTTCGGGTTTACATAATATTCATGTAGTTACTCTCTCCAACTGTACAAGATAGCTGGTTCTGCACTGCTTGGCATCAAGGGACATGTTTCCTAGTTCTGTCAAGTTTTCATACCAACTCATCCAAATTTGTGGTAGGTGGTCAGATGACACAGTGATTAACAAACTCGCCCGTCACCAAGGCAGCGGGGGTGGACATGAAAAGGTATGGGGTCACACGGTTGTGCTCCAGTTTCCTCCCTCCTGCATAAAGACACCAGCACTACCCAATAACTTACATTTCATGCATCCTTTCATAGCAGTAGGGTATGATTTCTCTGTATATTTTCTGGGCCAGATTAATGAATTTCTGTGTATTTTCTTGGCCAGATCAATGAACTTCTCTGTGTATTTTCTGGGCCAGATCAATGAACATCTCTGTGTATTTTCTGGGCCAGATAAATGAATGTCTCTGTGTATTTTCTGATCAAATTCATTTTTGGCACCAATACATTCTCATCTTCTCCATGAATGATGAATGAAGGTGTCATATGTTCATGTTAAGAAATACCAAATTTCCAGGTCATCTGTTGAGCTTTGCTCAAAATTCATCTATATTGTACTCTATATATTTCAAATATCTGATCATCAAGGTTCCACTGCATATAAAGGTTTTACAAAATAATTAACCTTTTACAAATTTTGAAATGATGTTAATATTTCAAAAGTATTTTTAAACAACATTTCTTAGAAAGAAATTCCATTTTTTTTTTTAGATGACACCTTTGTTATTACCGTGGTAACCTCAGACAAACCCTCGGCTGAGACTGACGCTAACGTCTTTATCGTAATAAACGGCACAAATAACATTTCAAGTGACAAATTTTGGTTAAGAAATGGGAACTTTGGACGTGGTCAGAGACACAAATTTTCTAAAAAGCTTTATGGAATTGACAGTCCTGTAAAGGACATTGAGATCGGACATGACTGTAGCGGACAGAAACCGACATGGCACCTACAGGAAGTTCAGGTGTACTGTGCCAGGACTGGCCTACAACAGATCTTCCCCGTGTATAGGTTGTTGTCCTCAGACAAGCCCAGCCTGGTCGTTAGTGAACAGCGATCTGTCCAGAAATTTATCCAGAGTGAAAATGGTAAGCTCCGTTTCTGTAGAGCCCAGTCCCTTTATTGAAAATATTATTAAGGTCAAGGTTTAGGTCCCCTCATTACTAAAATATTACTAAGGTTTAGGATTACGTCCCCTTATCAAAAATATTACTAAGGTCAAGAGTTAGGTCCCCTTACTAAAATTATTACTAAGGTCAAGAGTTAGGTCCCCTTACTAAAATTATTATTAAGGTCAAGAGTTAGGTCCCCTTATAAAAATATTATTAAGGTCAAGAGTTAGGTCCCCTGATTAAATACATAATTAAGGTAAGTTTAAACAATATTTTATTTACAAATATGCAGTACATAATATAAAATTATACAGAATGTAATGTTAGGGATCTGGCAACAAGAGTAGGCTCTTATATTAAGCCATCTCCCAACAATGAGAAGATTGCAGTATAACACAAATAGCTTAAATAACATCAATAATTATATAAATTCAAATGATATAGCTAATCAAACAACCAAGTATAAGGTTAAGACTTAGGTCCCCTTACTAAAGACATTATGAAGGTCAAGAGTTAGGTCCCAATTATCAAAAATATTACTAAGGTTTATGACTAGGTCCCCTTATTAAAAATATTAAAAAGTGTGTCCCCTGATTATGGTTACTGTAGACAGATTGTGATGTTGTATTTAGTGACAATCATACACAGTTGTGTCCCCTGATTATGGTTACTGTAGACAGATTGTGATGTTGTATTTAGTGACAATCATACACAGTTGTGTCCCCTGATTATGGTTACTGTAGACAGATTGTGATGTTATATTAGTGACAATCATACACAGTTGTGTCCCCTGATTAGACCTAAACCAACATATTCACAGAAAGATATATTGAAAGCTGGTTAGATATTTTGCAATAATATCTCCTTCATCCAAGAATGGTGTAAGATTTACTGATGGGCTATAAAATTGCTCTACTACCTCGAAAAAAACCGGAAGATCTTTTTCTGTGGCAGTGTGTTAATTAACATGAATTAAAGCAAGTGTGAAGTTAATTCCCTAGTGATGATTGCCTGTAGCTTACCTGCTGTGTATTTCTGCTTCAGTATCTCCGTTAGTACATGTTTATCTCTGTTAGTACATGTTGTCCTCGCCACTAAATAGTCCAGTCTATACATGGCCATTTGTTTACTAAGATTCTCACCATGCCTTTATGTACCTTTTCTGTCATTATTTTGTAAAAAAGAAAAAAATACCTATCCCAATCGTGCCCACTGTAGATTCACACTTATTGTATAGTGCATTCTCCCAGTTATGTGTGTAAACCCTTAGTATACCTGTCTGTAAACCCCAAGTATACCTGTCTGTAAACCCCAAGTATACCTGTCTGTAAACCTGTCTGTAAACCCTAAGTATACCTGTCTGTAAACTCTAAGTATACCTGTCTGTAAACCCCAAATATACCTGTCTGTAAATCCCAAGTATACCTGTCTGTAAACCCCAAGTATACCTGTCTGTAAACCCCAAGTATACCTGTCTGTAAACCCTAAGTATACCTGTCTGTAAACCCTAAGTATACCTGTCTGTAAACCCTTAGTATACCTGTCTGTAAATCCCAAGTATACCTGTCTGTAAACCCCAAGTATACCTGTCTGTAAACTGCAAGTATACCTGTCTGTAAACCCCAAGTATACCTGTCTGTAGGTACCCTTCAATGATGGTCCCTTCAGTAGCCTTTCATTTTAGTGTAATATTTGTTCTGTACTTTAAACTTGATCTTGTTTTCCCCCAATGTTATTTATGTTTATTGTAGACTCGGATCCCCCAATGTTATTTATGTTTATTGTAGACTTGGACTCCCCCAATGTTATTTATGTTTATTGTAGAGTCGGACTCCCCCAATGTTATTTATGTTTATTGTAGAGTCGGACTCCCCCAATGTTATTTATGTTTATTGTAGAGTCGGACTCCCCCAATGTTATTTATGTTTATTGTAGAGTCGGACTCCCCCAATGTTATTTATGTTTATTGTAGAGTCGGACTCCCCCAATGTTATTTATGTTTATTGTAGACTCGGATCCCCCAATGTTATTTATGTTTATTGTAGACTCGGATCCCCCAATGTTATTTATGTTTATTGTAGACTCGGACTCCCCCAATGTTATTTATGTTTATTGTAGATTCTGACAGTGATTCGGGAAGTGACGGTGACAGTGACTCTAGCAGTGACAGTGAGTCTGAACTGACAGAGGATGACAAGAAAAAATTAAAACAAGGTAAGTCCATCTTTCATCATTCAGACCTCCAGAGCTATTTTCTGACCTAGGGTTCTGATTTCTCATCAAAAATTAGCTTAGATTTTAGGTTTTCTAAAAATGCAGCAGCAGACACTGAGAAAAGGAAACTTTTATCGAAGTAATGGAAAGAGTTTGAGATTTTTTTAAGAAGAAGAAAACCAAGAAAACAAAATGTTTGTTTTTTGCATGAAATTATTTTAATTGTTTTATGAGAAATATATCTTCACAGAAATGGTATCATGGACAACATGAAAAGTATTCTTAACCCTTTCACCCCTAGGTAACTACCATACATTGATCTGGATGAGTCCATTATGGTCTACAGTGGTGAAAGGGTTAAACCGAAAAACAAAATGGTTCATAGAGTTTGAACAATTGACTATTACTGCGGAGGTCAATCAAACAATATAATAGTTAAAGGAATCAGAAATCTCATCAGATCTTTCACCCAATGCTTTAAACAGACCTCTGATCTGAATAAAATCTACTTTATAAACAGATGTAATACACACAGGGTTAGAATCGTTTTTTTCTAAGGAATTTTGGGTTTCTTTAGTGTTAGTAAGTTGCATTATTTACATTCCAGTCAAAAAATAAATAGAATGTGTTTAAAAACATAACAGGGTTACCTAGTATTTCAAACAGCATAGCAAAGTAAAAACAAACTTACATATATTTCTCTCCCAAATTATATTGTACTGAACATTCTTTTCTTTGAAAAAGGTGATTGAGGATGTAATTCATCCATTGAGAGTGGTCTCCCTTGATCTCCCATACAGCATCTACATTTTGTATAGTTATACAGTAACGCCCGGAGAACAGTCTGTTGACTATAACACTAGGGAAACAATTCAGTATCGCCAGGACGACATTCTGACAACAAACACAAACATTATTGCACCTTTTTACCTACACAATTAACAAACCAGTGTTATATGTTATAGATATTTGTCTAATTCCTCTCCAGCTTGATTGACAGATGATGAATTCAAGCGAGTTCATTTCATTGATTTAATTGTATGTAATTGAAAAATAATAGACAAAGCCTCTAGGTCTATATTAACAAATATTTAACACATAGTTTGTAGGAGTGTCAATAAGAGCATTATAAATATGTAAAACATAGTCTTATTGTGTTTCCTGTATCATAGATAGTTTCTTTGAAATATTCATCAATTAAAATGTTGAACTCCTTAATAGTTTGAGCATTAACAACAAGTACAGGTAGGTTGTTCCACACGTCTACTGCTCTAAATGTGGACGAGTTTCATAACAATGAGGCATAACAAACTAAATCATCTAACTGTCAATGCTACGACACCTGGTGTTTTTGTTAAATATACTTTCATTTGTGGGATAGGTTAGCACCTAGTTTATATTATAGGGATGGGTACCTTGGCTGATTCTGTCTGACCGTTATAGTGGCAACGAAGAAGGTGATCCAAATGACAATTTATACCAGGAAATTTCTGCGATTGTGAACTCCGCCACGTGGCCGCATTCCCACACTAATATATGCCTATATTCAGTTTATCTGCTGACAAGGAAATTTTAAATATTGAAATGTAAAGAATTCTGCTATTTTAATTACTAATTCTTCGTCCAAATTCTTGCCTACATCTAATCTGATAACTTAACCGTTAATTGTAAGATTGTAAACAGAATCTGCCATTTAGAGGAACATGTGTTGTATAGACCTTATATAACTAGGATTTCCTCAGTTGTTTTGATTTGTTGTTTTTTTTCCTCAGGTTCCACCGTCACCTCGGGACTTTGATAGGTGTCTCTCTATCTCTATACTATAATTTGCACAGTTTATCATTTTCTAATCTGTGTTCTATAACCTTAACCTTCATAATAGTTCAACCCTCATTGATTTGTTTTGTCCAGTTTACATATTTAACTCATTCACCCCTACAAGTCTAAACTGGACTTGCCCAGTCTTTGATCTGGTGAGGTTCACATGTGTCTTAGGGGTGAGTGGATTAATAAAGATAGGAATAGATTTCAAAGAAATTAATAAAATTTATCGTATTCTTATGTAGATACAATGTATATGTCTTTCTGAAACAAATTTCTTTTACCAGCAGAAATATTTCTGTTTTAATAGGAAAGAATTATTCTGTTTCTATCTCCATTGTCTTATCCTTATTTCTGATCATTTAGAAGTAGTACACTGCTGTTGCTACATCTCTGCGATTAGAAATCCTGCTACATTTCCTCTTTGTAGTTGGTCAATGTTGTTTATTTCATTGATATTGAATTATTGATGCTACTTCAGCAAGTTTGAATCAAAGTACTGAAAGTACTGGAAGTACTGGAAGCAAATAATCTTTTGACAGGACAAAGTACTGAGTGATTTTTATAGTAGTTTTTGACAGGACAAAGTACTGAATGACTTTTAAAGTAGTTTTTGACAGGACAAAGTACTGAATGACTTTTAAAGTAGTTTTTGACAGGACAAAGTACTGAATGACTTTCAATTGTTTTTGACAGGACAATTAAAGTACTCAAAATACTGAAAAGTAGAAGGTTTCAGCAGTAATTAAAACAAAATAAACAATAATTATCCACACTGTGTATGTACATGTTGTATTAAGAGTTATGACTGATGTAGATATTAAAAAGTAAACTTACTGCCATAGTATAACAATAATTTGTGTGTTGATGGAGTGAATTGTTTTTTTTCTCTTTGTCCCTTACTCTGTAAAGATATTACAAGTATTGTACCTTGTTATTAAGGCTTAAAGGTTTGGTTTACTTCATAGCACTTCTACCCCAGCACAGATAAATAGTAGTAAATCCAGATTGAGTAATCCAAACGTTATAGGGTTAGCATTTAAAGTTGTGAAAATTAACCCTCGTGTTGAAGTTTTTGCTAGTTTTTCAGGAACTGTTCTTGATTTCCCTTCTTTGAACTCATTCACTCCTGAAATTTTATAATAAACTATTCCAACCCTTGAATTGGGAGAGTTCAAATGTGTCTTCAGGGGTGAACGAGTAAATGTTTCTGCAATCTCTGAACACACCTGGCATTTTGTTCTCCCAATCTTCTAATCAGATCTGATTTTCTTGTCCCTCTAACAGTTACGGGATTTGTTTTTTACTAACATGCTTCCAGATTTTGATTTCTTTCATACTGATGATCATTCCCTCATCATAACAATATGTAAAAGATGATTTTTATATCCAGGGTAAATCAGTGAAAAAATTCAGTCTTGGCACAAGAATGGTCCAATGAAGGCAAAACTATATAAATTTCTTGATGATTATTTTGAGTTTATCTAATTGGCTGATAAGTATTGAGCTGATTTTTTTTTTCAAATTGGTACTAACATTTTACCATTGTTGAACTTCGTAATAATACCGTAACACACCTTGCTGTTTTCTCCACAGGCAAACTCGACCCTGCTGTTTTCATGCGAAGTCCCAATTTCTTCAACTAGATCGTAAAATCCTCACATCACATATTGCTTTATTTTGTAACAGTTTTTTTTAACTTTTATAAGTTTAGTTAATCTTAATCACTGTAGTTCTTTTAGAATGTATAGGGAACGGTGAACTGTACTGGACTAAGATGCATGCTGAAAAGTTGTTCTGTGATATTTTTACTCTTTGTTTAATAACTTGATAGTGAAAAATAATATAGTTGAATGCATTTCACTATCTAGGTGAATTAGAGAGAAACCTCGTTAAACCGCTTCCATTTGCTCAGTAATATTTCGGTGTTAGAAATCCTTTTTTTTACGTCGATGAAGGCGTTTAAAGACATTGTTAAGAAATATGGAAAAACGGTCCTCAATATACCGTTGGTGAGCAAGATGGCAAAAAACCAAGAGAGAGGCATTAATATAACATATCTCATACGCATGATTAGAGGATAGTTGAACTCATTTTGTTGTAAAATGCATGATTGGTGTTCATACTATATTGGTTTCTTACTTAGGTATCGTAGAAATCATCGGAGATATGATAAAAATCATATTTAACTTGGGTTCCTTTGTAATTCAGGAATTATTGGAAATTTATCATGAAACTCTACATGTAAATAGAGTTGAAGGAAGCAGAATCATATTTATTGAATATATAATGATATATTTATTGAAATAATGAATATGAAGAATAAGGACCCATGTCAAACCATCATAAAGTTTTATCTGTATTAATGGAAAAATAGAATTTAAAAAAAAAAAATCATAATTTCAGTATCTCTCTCACCAGTGTCACCTATATGTGTAGTGGCATCGGGGGGGGGGGAAACAGGAAATCAGCATTTAGTTATAGTCATTTTCATCTCATTGATATGTATCTGTCTGATTGAATAGCATGAATATACATAGTTAGGAGGTGAAGGTTTTTAGTTTCTTACCAAGATCCTTAACAATTCAATTTCATTTCATCAGTTATCAACATCATAACTACAACCCACCAAGACTTGTCAACAAATGCTCATACAACTAAAAGAATATGTTTTTCTCCTTCTAATATCAGACACTCTAATTCTTATATAGTTCCTACCTTGCATGGTCCGTGTTTATGTGATTCAGGAATTATTCCTGTTTGAATGGAGCTACCTTCTAAAGGGAGCTCACTCTTATCACTATTTTAAAGGGAGATCACTCTTATCACTATTTTAAAGGGAGATCACTCTTATCACTATTTTAAAGGGAACTCATTCTTATCATTATTTTAAAGGGAGATCACTCTTATCACTATTTTAAAGGGAACTCACTCTTATCATTATTTCCAAAGGAAGCTCACTCTTACTACTAACCTTTTGATGAGTTCATTCTCACTAAAACCTAGCTCACTTATCACCCTCACTAACTGTAAGCTAACTTTCACTAACTTCTAAAGTGGCTTTCACTCACTGGTTCATTTCTGTCAAACTGTGCAAATCTCAAGCAAAAAAAATCTCACAAATGTCACAAATAGTAAGCCTCACAATCGGATCAAGGGAAGGCACTCCATGGATGAAATACAGAAATAGATCTAAAGGTATATCTATTGTGTTTTAGGAAATCAGATATTAAATTAAAACATATACAGTCATTCTCACTCATCCAGTTACCTTCAGACCAATTAAGCTAAAATTGTAAATCTGTTCTTCAAGACACTTAACTCATTCACCCCTGAAATTTCATAATGAACTATACCAACCTTTGAATTGGAAGAGTTCAAATGTGTCTTCAGGGGTGAATGAGTTAAACTGTAAATCTGTCCCCCAACCCCCACAAAAATCAGAAATTTGTGAAAATATGGCTCTGGATCAATGGGTTTTGACTATTTGACTATATGTCGTTACAGAGACTGGATTAAAATTTGCTTCAGACTTCGCTTTTTAAATTAGATTAAATATATATGTAAGTGTATCAGTGAAAATTGAACTGACCTCAATATGTTTAATGTGTGTACAACTATGTATAGAGTTGTTATATTAGTAAGAGGCATTAGAACTACCTGTAATTCATGAAACAATCATAATTTGGAGGGAGATTTAAACAAAATTCATTACATGTCTATCATGTTTAGGTCTAATCATAGCTCCTTTCATTAACAGAGCCCGTAAAGCAAGACCTTCCTCCAAAAGCCAGCTTTCCTCTAACAGACAGTGATGCCCCCCATGTTGTCAGCGAGAGCGATGGCAACAAGTTTAACGTGTTTGGCAGTGGGACCGACACAGACAACATGCATGGTGGTAGGTACTGTTCTTGTCAACTCTCCCTATTTACGAGGGAGACTCCCGATTTTGGACCCTTAAATTTAGTATTTTCAAACAGTGAATTAGCTAAACTATTCCTATATTTTGAGATCTAATGATTTCATCTGAAAGAACAGCTCGAAATATGTCATTTTAAAGGGTTATTTTGTCTCTAGGGGATGTATACACACATTTATGTACATTTTTGTAAAGGCAGAATCTCCCCCATTGGGAATTTCAAAAAGTTGGCAAGTACGAAATTGTTAGGAAAAAAAGGGTTTGTCATGTAACCACCTTTAGATACTGTTTCACAAAATATTTCTTTTTATATTTATAAAGTTTAAAACATATTGATGAAGCTTGATAGATATGAGTGTTCCGTAATGAGTTTTGTTTCTCTATATTCATCCAGGGAAAGATGAGTTACTAGTATTAATGTTTGGAGGACATGTTAGATCACAATGTGAACTGATGCTTCAGTAAAATATAACTGTACAATCACAATAGTGAAATAACTATTTTGGCCTTCAACCCGAGCTCAATGAACTAAAATATAATTTACAATCAAGTTATTCTATCATAAATGATGTCCAATTAAAAGTTAATTGACAGTTATTTTTTTATTCTAGGTAATGATCCTGATAGTGTGACAGCCGCAGGACCAATCAAATCTGCATACCTGTTGAAAATCGGTGTAAAACCGGGACAGCCACTAGAGGGCAGCATACTGCCTAAAGTTGCCGGGGAAACAGACATAGAACTAAGTGCTATAGCCCTGACAACCGAACAGGTACTTAACAGTTTAATGGTGTAATACCACTCAGGACAAGATGGAAATCCTGTCACGTTGAAAGTTTAATGTAGAAAATGAGAAAGCAGAAGCATAAAATCATTTAGCAAAAAACGTGTTTGTATCTGGAAGGGATTCATTATCTTTTCAGTGATCTTGTCATATTTTATCGATGATAAGCCCATGGGGTCTGTGCATGAAAATATATCAAAAGTTAGGGGCATTATTGTGTTTTACCGGTAATAAGCCGGCAACATCGTGGTTCAACATTTCAGCTCCAGATATCACAGTTTACCAAATCGCAACTGGTAGTAGAAATGTAAAAATATGGTATGTTAATGTTACATTTCATAAAATGTGTCTTTACATATTGTAGAGAGTCAAACAATTTAAAACTATATGTAGAATAGGATAATATGGAATATTGAATAACTTCATTTTCATGTACGAAGTGTTAGTTTAGCATTTATGTAATAGATATGCTAACTTACATAGTAGAGAATTCGTAACTTTGAGATTACTAGGATTAGTGACTGTATTGGTACAATAATCTTAAACTCAAAGTGATGGGGTGGGCTTATAACAGGACAATGAGTTTACATTACTGTCGTGCTGAGATAAACTGTTCATTGTTTTATGAATTTGTATTATTATGACATGCTTTACAGCCTCTCAACACAGATTATTTAATTATGGCCAGTGAATGGTCTTTTGCTGAAAAAACCCAGTGAAATCTTGATGAAATTAGAGTATAAAATAAAGGTTTAAATGAAACTGAAGAATGTAAAACTCAGCGATTACAAAACCTTGTTTACATTGACAGGTGAAGGAACTGGGTACCTACATTGAGAAATCAAAAAACATCAAGTCCGTTTGTCTGAGGAATTGTGGGATTGATGATGACAAGTTTGACAAGATAGTAGACAGTATTGAAAGTACAGAATCGGACATTAAGGTAGGTTCTTTTTCTGTAATGCAGCCTTTGATGTCAAAGCCAGCTCACTTTCATAGCATGGACTTTGAAATAAAGTTAACATATGTATAATTCAACAGAGTCATTTGGAACTTTTATCACAAGATTAGCCTTCAAAGGTTTCTTCCTTATTAGCTTTTCTCCTGTCTACTTGTATAAAGAACATTATAGGTCATGTGATGCAGTCGTGTACAAGTTTTCTGAAAATATTTATACTTCCTTATTTTATAATACATGTATTTAAAATTTTGTAACTGAGTGTTTTGGAGAATAGAATGCTGAATTTAGCAATTAAAGAATAAACGAAAAACAGTTTAGGTAAGATATTAAAACGTTTGTAATCTACATGGATACCAACTTTTTGTACCTCGCTGAACCATTTTGTCAGAATGTAATTATCAAAACATACTAACTGGCCTATTGTTATACCAGATGCTGAACTTGAACCTGAACAAGCTGGGAGACTCTGCTGCTGCTGATATAGCGGACATGTTGGGCGAGAAATCCTCTGTAGAGATATTACTGTAAGTTACTACTAGTAATGTAAACCTTTTGTCTATAACAGTTTATCTTCTGTAGAGATATTACTGTAAGTCATCCTTACTCCTAACAATCTAAACCTTCTCTCTATAACAATTTATCTTCTGTAGAGATATTACTGTAATTCATCTTTACTTCTAGTAATCTAAACCTTATCTCTATAACAGTTTATCTTGTGTAGAGATATTACTGTAATTCATCTTTACTTCTAGTAATCTAAACCTCCTCTCTATAACAGTTTATCTTCTGTAGAGATATTACTGTAATTCATCTTTACTTCTAGTAATCTAAACCTCCTCTCTATAACAGTTTATCTTCTGGAGAGATATTACTGTAAGTCATACTTGCTTCTAGTAATCTAAACCTCCTCTCTATAACAGTTTATCTTGTGTAGAGATATTACTGTAATTCATCTTTACTTCTAGTAATCTAAACATTCTCTCTATAACAGTTTATCTTGTGTAGAGATATTACTGTAATTCATCTTTACTTCTAGTAATCTAAACATTCTCTCTATAACAGTTTATCTTCTGGAGAGATATTACTGTAAGTCATTCTTACTTCTAGTAATCTAATCCTTCTCTCTATAACAGTTTATCTTCCGTAGAGATATTACTGTAAGTTACTACTAGTAATGTAAACCTTCTCTCTATAACAGTTTATCTTCTGTAGGAATATTACGTTAAGTCATCCTTACTTCTAGTAATCTAAACCTTCTCTCTATAACAGTTTATCTTCTGTAGAGATATCACTGTAAGTCATCCTTACTACTAGTAACCTAAACCTTCTCTCTATAACAGTTTATCTTCTGTAGGAATATTACTGTAAGTCATCCTTACTTCTAGTAATGTAAACCTTCTCTCTATAACAATTTATCTTCTGTAGGAATATTACTGTAAGTCATCCTTACTTCTAGTAATGTAAACCTTCTCTCTATAACAGTTTATCTTCTGTAGAGATATTACTGTAAGTCATCCTTGCTTCTAGTAATCTAAACCTTCTCTCTATAAAAGTTTATCTTTATAATACTGTACCACTATATATATATATGTCTTTATATTTATGTTTGTATCATATATCTATGAATGCCATGAGCTGATCGTTTATGTCATCATTATTATGACGTCATAACTGCTACGTTAGATACTACTGCCCCCCCCCCCCCCCCCCCCTATTGATTGATCAAGTATATATGATAAATACATCATTAAAACTAAATGCTGAATATTGATCACTGTAATTTAATTTTCCACAAGACAGACATACTCCAAAATGATAAATATAAGCATCATGGCATATTTCATGTTTGATTTACCTTTGTCCAGTTGGCATTCATATTGCATATGAATGCTGACTGAAAACAGCCCTTTATTTAAATGATGCTGTAACACTATATGATTTTAATTCTGCTGATATTGATTCATTTAAAAATAAGGGAATATTAGCAAGTATGGATAATCCATAATTGTTTGTTTTGCAGTATCCATGGTAACCCACTAGGCGACAAGGGAGTGAAGAATTTAGTTATGGGCATCCTCGACATAGGCGATAGTGATGACGATGACAAAGGCGAGGTCAATCTACGAGAGCTGGACCTTGGCGACACCAACATGGGGGACAGTGGCATGAGTAGGGTCGCAATCTTCCTGGAAAAGAACACCACTCTGAAAACACTGAATCTCAATGGCAACAAAGCTGTCACTGTGGAGGGATGGCAGAGACTTGGAAAGGCTCTCAAGAAAAATAAAACCCTACATACACTGTCATTAGATTTCAACAATATTGGTGATGAAGGAATTGCTGCTGTTGTCGAGGGGCTCCGGACAAATGTCACTCTGCAGACACTGGAGCTCGAGGATGTTGGAATCACCAAAAAGGGCGGGAAAATGTTGAGAGACCTTGTAAAAGATAATCCAACTATTTTAGAGGTCACCATTTTTCCAGGAAATGATATTCCTGACGATATCCGTGATGATATTAAAACATTCCTTGGTTTGAGTAACGAGGCTCACAAAAAGAGGCAGCAGATGGCCTCATAGAATGACAAAAAAATTAAACCCTGTTGCTATGGTGATGAACATTTTACTTTTAGTATTCTAGGCTAATACATTAGTGCCTTTTAGGGGTTGTATAGTCGATGACATTTGAGAAATTGAATTCCTAACATTCCTTTATTTTAAACCTTGTTTACGTTTCATTGTGTGCCATTAGTCCAAGCTGTTAGTCAAGTTTATCATTTTTTTCCTTTTTTGTAACAAGTGAACAAAATGTTAGGCTTAGACAAGAAAAGAAAATTACTTTTATTCAATATTGTTACCTTCATACACAAGCTTAGCTGATACTTATGCAAAAACTGAAATTGTGCTAGTTACAATTTCAGGTCGAGATCTTGAATTTTTTTTTCTTTATATTTGTGATTATTGTGTTATTCATACTTATATATATATATGCATCAATTTTCCAATTCTTCCGTCCGTGTACTTTATAAACACAAACACTGATATTCAGGTAAGCCTCATTAATCTAGCCCCCTTGCTGGCTAAATTGGCTAGATTGTCAAAGAATTAAATACTGGGACACAAAGAGATACAAATCCCTCCCAAACAGTAATGGGATAGTGGGACAACTGGATGAGTGGGGGTTACAAAGTGGGACAACTGGATGAGTGGGGGTCGAAAAGTGGGACAACTGGATGAGTGGGGGTTGAAAAGTGGGACAACTGGATGAGTGGGAGTCGAAAAGTCGGACAACTGGATGAGTGGGACAACTGTGTTACATGACAAGCGATGGTTGGGTTAACGAGGTTGGAGTGCAAATTTACTTAGTTTGTATTTTGATTGTTGATCTGTGATAACTTTCCTACCACAAACATTTATGTGTATACAAATTATATCTTTTGATATACAAATCATTCTTTAAATTTTATAGCACTGTATCAAGACTTGATTCCCGGGAAATATCCGTCCTTTTTCTATGTTTTAGTCTCTACAACTAATAATTCATACATTATCAGCAAACTGAAATTTTACTAGGAAAATTTATTTCAGAATAATGAAATTGTTATAATATACTTGTATATTGACAAAATCAAATGTATATATTGTATTGTACATAGTTATGTTTACCTAGCATGGCCTTTGAGATGTGAAACTGGATTTTAGTCATTTTTTATCCCTTTTGTACAGTAATATATACTGTGTTATAATTGACTTTATTGGTGAATACTGCCTGTCAGATTTTTGTAATTAATGATGTAAATAGTTTGGAGGAGGGCTCACATTATATTTTTGTCTTTGATATATATATAGAGAATGTGAGGAGGGTTAATTACAGGTGGGATTATGTCTAGATTGATAAGGACCAAGTTTCTTGAGGTATGTAATAGATTAGTACCATATTTATCTGGCAATAAGCCCAGGCCCGCCCTTATCTAAATGCCAACAAAGACTATTTTATTATTCTGTAATAAGCCCACCACCTTACTACACGTCCCAGATTATGTGTCGGTCTCCTGGGCCTCTTGCTGGATAAATATGGTAATATCTTACTGAAGAGTGAATGTATGTAACAACCACTATTAAGATTTGATAGATAAAATGTAGCGGACTTCAGCTTGGGAACTATTTTTGACATGTATTATGTAATTTTGCCTGATGTGTTGTAGCCTTAATTACTTAGCTGTGTATAAGTGCCGAGCGTTGTCGAGGATTTTAGTAGTCAGAGACTGCTGTTTAATTATATTCTACAAAAAAACATGTGTTAAAGAATACCCTATTTTATCTTTGGTCAGGTAAAATATTAACTCATTCTTGAGCTCGTTCACCTTCAATGCATGAAGTGCTTATTTTCAGAGGGAAACTTTCAAATATTGACATTGTATATACAGCCTGTAAGGGCTGGGTAAATCGCCCAGTATGGACTATCAAAAATATGGTAACAGAATTTTATAAAATAAAAAAATGTATTTCTAATACAATGTATAAGAATTCAGAAATTTGGTTCTTTAGATCATTACATTTGATAGGATTTTGTTATCAACATGAAAGCTGCATGAACTAAGATATGGGTTTAACAGGTTTTTTGTTGGTATGATAGAGGCGTTAATTTAGACAAGCTTTTGTTTTATTAACTTTGATAGACTTTACCTATAAATAGGCTCTCATCTATACATCTTATTCAATCATCATCATAAAGCTTTAGTTAGAAATACACACAGGAGCTTTACAGTGTTGCTGCCTTTCTCGTCACTTAGCTTGCAAGTGCTGCTGTAATTATACATTAGCACTGATATCAAGGAGAATGAGGTAGTTGAATTGCCGGACACCGATATATTTATAATTTGTAATGTATCTTTAATCTTCAGTTTAATACAGGAAGTCCCAACATTTCTCCTTGGTGTATTTATAATACATTGTTAGTTAGGTTTATTTCATTTCTGAATTATTTTCATTTAAAATTATTTTTTACTACATGTATTGGGAAATTGTCATTTGCAAATGTGCTGTTATTTTTTTACTTCTTTTATCACTTTTTATACAGTGCACATTTATTCAAACTCTGGACTTATTCTCTCAACAACACCTGGAGGCAAGTTTCAGCGTTGCCTTAAGCAGTAGATATATTTACTAAAGGTAATAATGCAGATACTAAACTCCCACTGTGATAAAAAGATTGAATTGCTCAATTTAATTGTTGTCAAGTATCTTGTATGACTCCTGATCAACAATGCAACTTATTGCCACCCTGATGAGGATACAGGGAGATAACTATCACCAAGGGAGGTAACTGAAGATATTTACTCTAGATTTTAATGAAGTGATAGCACCATAGAATAATTAAGAAATCCAAGTATTCAATTATATTTTCCCTGTTAATGAGCATCCATCTGTGTATTAGTTTATAGCTATATTTAAGTCCAAATCAAACTGTGATAGATACCCGTAATAATGTATTTGTTGAATGGCTTGCATTGTTGTGTAATGTAAATCCACGTACGATAATGATTTTTGTAAAACTGACTCCACACTTTGTCCTTTCATTAGCAGAGCAGCACAAAATTATTTGAAAGAATTTTATTGTTTCAAATTTTAAATATTCATCAGATAACTTCTTTTTGAACATTATTTCCAGCAAAAAATAATCCAATACATACAGATTTTATTTTGACAAGTCCACAACAAAATTTTGTTTACTATTACTTTGCAAATTGCATCAAGGCTAAACAAATTAAGGATATGATGGTTATCTTGTGTGGAGTAAGTTTGACTAACACTGCGTCACTAGTGCTGTTTGGTGTGGTCTAACACTACAGTTAGAGTAGAACCTGCCAGGATAACTTAGATTACATCGCCACATTTCTCAATAAAGCTGTAATGTAGAAATCGTCTTTGTTTTATTTTTGTGGCAAACGTTTGATCGGGAAGAATTATCTGTCCAGGTGCAATCTTTGGGATGAATGATCACTAGAGAGGAGGAAGAATCGTGATCAGAGGGTTTAAGTGGGAGGACACTGGAGTACTGTACAATAGAGACAATCTGTGTGGTCGGGCAGGTGACCTATACTATCTCAGGTCCAATCAGGTTATCAAACTTCAGCTGTTTTGGTGAAAGACGAGTACAGTATCCAAGGATCCACCCGACCTGTACCTGGACTACCTATATTGAATCTACAATGCATAAGAATCAAACTTCTATCGCACTCGCCTTTCACCAAGGCTGCCAGGGTTCAAATCCCCGATCAGTTTTGAAAAGGTTTGGGGTCACCTGTCTGACCACGTGGGTTTTCTCTGGGTACTCCGGTTTCCTCCCACATTAAAACCATCACACACTAACATCCGGGCCAACAAGAGTGATTTAAATAAGTTGAATTATTTGTTTTATAATAAATGAAGTTTATATACAATGCAGAACACAGTGAAGTTTATATACAATGCAGAACACAGCCCAACACACAAGACAAAACAACAATTTGGTGTAGATACTCTTTACTGGTTATCAATCAGGATAACATCAATGTGTTGATTTGAGGTTAAAATCTTGTATCACAAAGCATTCATTCGTACAGCCACATCAAGCCGGGGTGGTCAACCATTTGTACAGCCGCGGTCTTGATATGGTCAAACTAATCTACATCTGATGTGTAATGAGAGGTGAAGGCCAATCTTTTGTTACAATGACACTCTACTATAGAGAAACCTGTCTAAACTGAACATGGACTCTCACAACTATATCCATTGCTGCGTTGACTAACAAGAGTTATGCCCCCTACCTCGCTCAACTATGTTCAACGGAGGTGACACCAAACTGAACACTAGGGCCCCTTTGCCCGTTTTTAAATGCAACATTTTTGAGTATAAATCCTGGCAGACCTGCAGCAGTTTCTCCATGCCTCCCGAGGTGTTATCAAGGTCTTGCCTAAAGCAGCAACAGATGACTAGTTCCTACTGTATTTCTATGGTATACACAGTCCAATACATTCCATGACTACTCAGTTTAGACAGGCCTTGTATCTGTTTATAAAGTTGCCATATCAAATGGTCTTTATTTCTACTTTCTAATATTAAGGTGTTAAATTATTATACCTCAGAAGTATTGCACAATTTGATGTTTTAATATCATAAATAATGCACCTCAGAAACACAGCATAACTTATCAAAAGTTCTAGTTTCACCGACAGAGAAAAAATCTCTAGTGAAACCTACTTTGATATTTGCTGGTTTAGAATATATCTGTCTCTGCTCACATGATAACAAGATGTCCAAATCACATCATATAATGTCGCATTTGAGACAGAAAGATTCTGAAAACCTTAGCCAATCCTCTATTGCCACTACTTCCATTCTCAGCATGCACCAGAAATATATTAATAAAGGAAAAAACATAATCATAATATTATATAATGGGCTAATGTTTGTTATCATGTCCAGTTATGACCCGAATTGATACGGACTCAGACGAAGGCAGAACTTTCCTGTAACTCTTGGACCTTCATACAAATAAGAATAGAATATCTCATAGAGTGAAACTTCCCATAAATGCAAATATGTTTATCTCATGACCTTGGACATTGTGATATAAAGTACCAAAATTTATAACTCTTAACCTTTTGTAGATATCACCTACGGCTACAGAATTTAAGGTGTTGGAACAGTGAGCTTAAAAGGTCAAACTCGACCAATCAAAATACTGTAAAAGGTCAAACTTGACCAATCAAAATACTGTAAAAGGTCAAACTCATCCAATGAATATACTCTAAAAGGTCAAACCAGACCAATAGAAATATCCTTAACTCATTCACTCCTGAAATGCCATAATGCACTATTCCAACCTTTGAATTAGAAGAGTTCAAATTTGTTCTAAGGGGTGAATAGGTTAAACATTGTCAACATCTTCATTTGGTCCCTTGAATCACTGATTACAGGAATCATAGATAATAACGGGAATTGTAAATTAGTTTCGAGTAGATTTCCAAACATTTGTTCACACAGATTAACGGAGTCTATCATTCTTTTGTGATGTGACTAAGATAACTTCGCCTACAGGGAAGAATTTTATGGTCAACATGAACACTTGGCCAAGTTTTACACCTCAATGATCTTCTGTTACAGGTAAATGGTTAATTACTTTTCTCCCTGCCCATAACCTATATGTACTGATCATACCTATACCAAACTTGGCAGCATTCAACATGGTGAGGGAGTCCCTGTAATATCAGTACCAAGCTCTATAGTCCTAGTTTATAGTTTCCCCTTCAGAAAACGCAAATGAACCTGAGAAATGTTGAAGAGTTATATTTTCCAAACACACACGCGTTATGTTACTGATGATTCTGTTAGAAAGGTTATTCTCAAGGAGATACATTTTACCATTATTTCCCATATAATACACACTCTATTTTTTTTTTTTGGCATTTAAACTAAAAACACTTAAGATTGAAAAACGTTACACATTTCATAACAGAAATAATTTCCTCCATTACATTTTTCTCTCACAAATGTTAAATAAAGTGCTGTTATCTTTTGACAGTGGAAAAATTAGTATCATAAAAAACTGGACTACAAATCACCCAAACCTCAAACATCAATGACTCATAAATTGTACAGAGATTTCAATCGTAACTGTCTAAAATTCTGGCATCAATGTATAAAAAAGTACACGCATGTAATTAACTTTTACATTGTATACAAAGTATTTACTATAAATATTTATATTGTATACAATGTACAAAGTATGTACTTAATACTTACATTGTATAAAATGTATGTATTCCATATTTATTTTGCATACAAAGTATATGCTCCTATTTACGTTGTATATAACGGATGTACTTAATATTTACATTGTAAATAAAACGAATATATTTTAATTTCATTTTGTATATAATGTGTATTTAATATTTACAAAAGTTTAATATATTGCACATACACAAGTTAAAGTAGGACTCGGCTGTAAAGTGTTGACACTATATACTTATCAACAGGAGAAACAGGTATTTATGTCGTCAGCCATATACGATAAGCAATGTATACAAAGTTGTGTAAAATGTTAATACATAAATAAACCATATCTAAATGAGTGCTTTTATATCAGCCATTCAATTCTAGCTTTAACAATGTGTGATATTTACAAACTTCACAATAACTAGCAATCTGTGAAGGATTTTGTTATGCATATTCACAATGATTCAAACCTGGAAAGTGATCCTTTCATTTTAGTTACTGTATATATACCAGTTAATATTTGTCCTTTATCAGTAAAATACTTATTCCTACAGTATTAGATTTTGAAAAAATACTGTGAATACAATAAGCGGTGTTTTGAATATTTACAGTAGAATTACTGTCAGTAAGCAGTGTGTACTATTATAAAGCTTTGTGATAAATTTGCCCTCATTATGGAGGCTGAAAGGGCGGTAAATATTGTCTGGTACATGTATTCAGATACTAACATTCATCAACGACTCGTATCCATATATAACACAGGTAACACAGTACCGATAAACTTGCTAACACAGGTAACACCGTACCGGTAAACTTGCTAACACAGGTAACACTGTTCCGGTAAACTTGCTACCACAGGCAACACCATACCGTTAAACCTGCTAACACAGGCAAGATCATACCGATAAACTTGCTAACACAGGCAAAACCATACCGGTAAACATGCTAACACAGGCAACATCATACCGGTAAACCTGCTAAAACAGGTAACACTGTACCGATAAACTTGCTAACACAAGCAACATCATAGCGATAAACTTGCTAACACAAGCAACATCATAGCGATAAACTTGCTAACACAGGTAACGCCATACCGGTAAACCTACCTGCTAACACAGGAAACACCATACCGGTAAATCTGCTAACACAGGCAAAACCATACCGGTAAACCTGCTCACACAGGTAACACCACACCGGTAAACCTGCTAAAACAGGTAACACTGTACCGCTAAACTTGCTAACACAGGAAACACTGTACCGGTAAACTTGCTAACACAGGTAACATCATACCGATAAACTTGCTAACACAGGTAACACCGTACCGGTAAACCCAGCTGCTAACACAGGCAACACCATACCGGTAAACCTGCTAACACAGGTAACACCGTACCGGTAAACCTGCAAGTCCATATGCTTGGACTCTTCTAACAATTCAAAAACACAAAAATATAAATGGTCACTAATCTTTAAATGTACATGCAACTAGAAAGCCATACCCTAATTATAAATGTCTAATTCAAGCTGTTCAGACTATGAGAACCTGAAGTAACAAGGTTACAGTTAAATTCATACATACTAGAACCTATTATGTACAGCTGTATTATAATCAACAGTTTACTCATATATCATTTCATATCCAACATATATATATATATATATATATAACAGTGTATCTTATTTAAAACCGTATACAAAGCTTGTTTCGTATCTATGTACATAATGAATGTGTAAGTAGATTGATGTACCTATGATATATGTACATACTGCATAATAACATATTTCTATGTGTATAACAATGCAAAAATCAGGTAAATATTCAATATTCATTTACAACATATCGTATAATCCTTCAGCATTCATGTTAATCTCTAACCAAAGCCATCCTACCTAACATCCACTTGCCCTCTGTTAAAGCCAACATTACTGTTAATCTCTAACCAAAGCCATCCTACCTAACATCCACTTGCCCTCTGTTAAAGCCAACATTACTGTTAATCTCTAACCAAAGCCATCCTACCTAACATCCACTTGCCCTCTGTTAAAGCCAACATTACTGTTAATCTCTAACCAAAGCCATCCTACCTAACATCCACTTGCCCTCTGTTAAAGCCAACATTACTGTTAATCTCTAACCAAAGCCATCCTACCTAACATCCACTTGCCCTCTGTTAAAGCCAACATTACTGTTAATCTCTAACCAAAGCCATCCTACCTAACATCCACTTGCCCTCTGTTAAAGCCAACATTACTGTTAATCTCTAACCAAAGCCATCCTACCTAACATCCACTTGCCCTCTGTTAAAGCCAACATTACTGTTAATCTCTAACCAAAGCCATCCTACCTAACATCCACTTGCCCACTGTTAAAGCCTAGATTCTTGATAAAACTACAATGTTACCTGCATTTTTATTTCAGCCTTCTTCTTTTTACCATATATGCAATCTCATTATGCTAAAAACTTAAATTCTGCGCTGTCATTGTGTGTTAAAAATGATGGCTGAGAAATTGGAAAAGTTCACAACAATTTACAGTCACTTTCACTTTGAATGCAACAAATGTAACTTTTTTTATTTAATTTAAAAGCCTTTACAAATTCACAGAGAAAAAAAAGACAGGTAAAACGCCCAATTTAATCTTTGTCAAGATTCCTAGCTCCAGATTTGATTGACATAATATACATGTAAGTGAGTTAAAGGAAAGACAACTCTTGGTAGGGATTTTTTTTTTATGTATTACATATGTAATCAATATGTTGTATACCTATATGATTTATGTAACTAGTAGTTTTTATGTAATGGTATATATATGTATGTAAAACACATGTTAATTTATACTTTATATACTGGTTTAATATCTTATCACAATCAGATAAGATTCATTAAAATTGAGACAATTCTCCTAGAAAACAAAATTGCCAAAATAGATTACAATGAGACAATGAAATTGTAATAAAACACTTAAAGAGGAATTTTAACCTTTGAAGTGGATTTTGAATAACAGTATAACAACACAAACATCTCCATTCTCTACTTCGTATTTCATAAGTAAACTATCTTCGATGCTATGAACATTATTTTTCTGTATCAGCACTTACAGCTCATCTCCTAGGTAACCATAACATGAATCACGAAGAGTTCGGCAGACAGGAAACAGTCAAACATCTGTCAGGATCCTAAGTATAATTCAGGCATGTTCAATGCATTATCAACACTAGAAATGTTCGTAAGATTATTCATGTATTGCTATACTTGTTTATAGCTCTGTACACCTGCTCCTACAAAATAACACTAACAAAAGGGACTATCTTAAGGGAGGGGCCCTCAGCAAACCGCTGGAATAACTCGTAAGTCAGTACTAATCTGGAAATCAGAAAAATATATTTCCATTTACTTTTTGATTTTTCAGTGTGCCTTTGTATCTGTTTTGCATAGCACATTTAACTCCAAATAAAACATTTTCAATTTTTGGCGTTTATACCAGATTATTATACAAATGATGCAGTTTTAATTCCCCCCAGTCTGAGGCTTTATAAGTTAGTATGAACCAAACATTCAACAATAATGCAACAGTATTTCTGAAAGTAATGATGATTCCATATTTTTATTTTCTTGGGGGGGGGGGCCCAGCATATTAAACAATACTCAACAATGGGTATAAATATTTTATGGTATTCAACAAACTTTTACTGTAAATATTGATTTTCAACAGTAAACTATCTAAAATTTATAACAAGTTTTCGAACAATGATAAACTTTTAAAGTGAAAAGTATGAAATACAACACAGAATATATTGCATGTACATAGAATAAACCTCGTTTTACCTTCACCATTTGACAAGTTGTTCAGCAGAATGTTGGCATGTTGTAATGAAAAGTGTTCAATAAAAAAAGTGTTTCAATATTTGGCTTATTGCAGAATACCTACACTGTGTACATTAATGATGGGTAGCTCTAAAGCACAGTATAAACAAACCTTTAACTCATTCACCACTGAAATTTCATAATGTACTATTCCAACCTTCAGGGGTGAATGAGTTAATGATCATGTTTGTTAATGACAAGACAAACAATTTATCATTTTACGGACAATTACGTTAGTGGAAGACAACTTAACATTTATTTTTCATTTGACATATGTGGATCAACTGCCTGTACTTTTCGTATAATTTGTTTTTAGAAATAAACGTTTCCAGTAATGGCTGTATAATGAAACAGATTAACAACTATCACACAACAAAAAGCCGGACTGATAACATTCAGATCTGTAACCGCTGGCAATGTCCCTTGAACCTCTAATTCTAAAACATTTAATGTTTATCAAAGTTATCTTACTTTGTAGGTTTGCTAGGTTTAGTTATAAACAAATACTGCAGATGATGAAATCAACACTAGGTTAAGTTATAAACAATACTGCAGATGATGAAATCAACACCTAGGATAAGTTATTAACAAATACTGCAGATGACGAAATCAACACCTAGGTTAAGTTATAAACAAATACTGCAGATGATGAAATCAACACTAGGTTAAGTTATAAATAAATAATGCAGATGATGAAATCAACACTAGGTTAAGTTATAAACAAATACTGCAGATGATGAAATCAACACCTAGGTTAAGTTATTAACAAGTACTGCAGATGATGAAATCTACACTAGGTTAAGTTATTAACAAGTACTGCAGATGATGAAATCTACACTAGGTTAAGTTATTAACAAATACTGGAGATGATGAAATCAATACTAGGTTAAGTTATAAACAATACTGCAGATGATGAAATCAACACTTAGGTTAAGTTATAAACAATACTGCAGATGATGAAATGAACAATCTCAATTTAATTCTATAAATATGGTCATTAGTGATTTTAGGAAATTTGGCTATAGGGCTTTAATTGCATGCATACATTTTATATAGAGGTAAATATATTGTAGTCGAAACAGAAACCAATAATGCTGATTTCCTGAGGACAAACCTACTCCTGTTTCCTGTACAGGATAATCTCAGATACCAAGAAATCAATGGTTACAATAAACATTAAGTTAACATAAGGTTGGCGCATGTCATAAATCTCATTATAAACAAAACATTATACAAAGTGGAATTACATCAGAATCCACAGTATACATAAAACAGGTGTATCTATCTACATTTAAGGATACATGCTACCGACCTCTGACATGAATCTCCAGGACAGAAGAGTTCCAAAATAAGAAACTTGTGTAGATATATTTTATGAATGTTAAGTTGTGTAGATATCTTTTATGAATGGTAAGTTGTGTAGATATCTTTTATGAATGGTAAGTTGTGTAGATATCTTTTATGAGTAGTAAGTTGTGTAGATATCTTTTATGAATGGTAAGTTGTGTAGATATCTTTTATGAATGGTAAGTTGTGTAGATATATTTTATGAATTGTAAGTTGTGTAGATATTTTATGAGTGGTAAGTTGTGTAGATATCTTTTATGAATGGTAAGTTGTGTAGATATCTTTTACGAATGGTAAGTTGTGTAGCTATATTTTAAAAATGGTAAGTTGTGTAGCTATATTTTAAGAATGGTAAGTTGTGTAGATATATTTTATGAATGGTAAGTTGAGTAGATATATTTCATGAGTGGTAAGTTGTGTAGGTATATTTTATGAATGGTAAGTTGTGTAGATATATTTTATGAATGGTAAGTTGTTTAGATATATTTTATGAATGGTAAGTTGAGTAGATATATTTCATGAGTGGTAAGTTGTGTAGGTATTTATTCTGATTACCGGTAATATTATTTAACATAAATGACATTTAGTCAGACTTGTATGTTCCAGAGACGACACACGAGTTAGATGCAGAGCCTCTGTGTCTTCAGTCAGTCATCACACGTCAGCGGTCCCTAGTTATCAGTCTTCGTTATCTTTGGTCCGAGAGCGGTTCGACAAACGTCTTTGGGAAGAGACCACGTCTCCCAGGATTACCCTCTATCTCCCCTTCCTGTAAATAAAACAGCTTATTTTATCACATACACTTACTACATTACTGAGGCTCACAATCTCATTACATCGTCAAATCTTACAGATAAATTACATCAAGTAACCTCATTTCTTTGCTGTACAATATTTTCATTCAATTATCTTAAGAATGTGATCTACATAATTTAACAGGACAGGAGTATGTGGATGTGTCATTCAGGACAGGTGTCGTTGAAGACAGGTGTCGCTAAAGACAGGCGTCTGTGGCCAGTGTCAATCAACATGTATATCCCTTATAGAAGCGATCTTTCAAAACGGTTGTACTCTAGTACAGATGGTTCTTAAGATGGATGTTTTCTTTGACTTTGTGGTCAATGTAATCAGTTTCTGAAGACAATGGGGTAAAACTTAACAGATATCTTTCTTGACAGGTAATACAACGTCAGGGATCTGTAGACAGGTGACCTAACTCTAAAGGTGTTTTCTGTAGACAGGTGACCTAACTCTAAAGGTGTTCTCACTTAGTAGGTGATCTCTGTAGACAGGTGACCTAACAAGAAAGGTGTTCTCACTTAGTAGGTGATCTCTATAGACAGGTGACCTAACTCGAAAGGTGTTCGCACTGAGTAGGTGATCTCTGTAGACAAGTTCTCTCAATAAACAGGTGATCTGTCTAGACAGGTAGTCTCACTAGACAGGTGATCTGTCTAGACAGATTGTCTCACTAGAGATGTGATATCTCTAGACAGGTTGTATCACTAGACATGTGATTGGTCTAGATAGGTAGTCTCACTAGACAGGTGATCTGTCTAGACAGATTGTCTCACTAGAGATGTGATCTATCTAGACAGGTTGTATCACTAGACATGTGATTGGTCTAGATAGGTAGTCTCACTAGACAGGTGCTCTCAATACACAGGTGATCTGTCCTGACAGGTAGTCTCACTAGACAGGTGATCTGTCTAGACAGGTAGTCTTACTAAACAGATGATTTGTCTAGACAATTAGTTCACTAGACATGTGCTTTTATTAGACAGGTGATCTGTATAGACAGGTTGTCTCACTAGACAGGTAGTTCACTAGACAGATGATTTGTCTAGATAGGTAGTTCACAAGACAGGTAGTCTCATTTCATTAAACAAGTGGTCCCTGTTGATCAGGTCTATAATACCTACCCACCAATCATCTTCCTCTTCCCTCAGAACTATAATCATCTCCCCTTCATTAAACGTCAGTTCATCTTCGTTGTCAGCCTCACAGTCGAACAGAGCACGACATCTTAGACCAATGGGAACCTTTTTCTGAAAAATTCAGAACACATGGTCAAATCTCTATAAATCCTACAACAAGGCTGAAGATTTAACACTTACAACAGTTGAGTATGACTATTACTTATTTTATCATTATTTTTAATCACAGTTAAATGTTACTATTGTAAAAGACAGTTTTCAGGCTAGCATCCCTAATGCTTTTTCTGTAACTACAGTAAAGCATTGTAAGTCAGGAGTGACGTATTCCCCGGGGATACAGGTAAACAATAATTTAAATAATCAATAGTTTTTGTTACAGTCTTAATATTTTAAATTTATAAAAAGCTTACATCACAAAAATTATAAAACTGCTAAAGATTTCAAATATTAATGTTAATACACCTGGAAAATTCTCCTAAACACCAATTCTGTCCCCCCCCATAAAGGGAAGGAATTGTTTGTAAAGTCTTTACAAGAGTACCTTCCCTTGCACTATCATATGCTATCAACAACTAATTGGCTGTACATCTTTTACAACTGAACAAGGAACCCACCTTTGGGCGTGGAACTGGTATAGGAGGCGTCTCCTTGTCTGGCACCGGCTGTCTGGACGGTATCACAGGAGGTGTTATTGGTCCCCTGTCTGTCAGTACAGGGAACATGTATTAAATATACATACTAGTGGTCCCTTGTCTGTCAGTACAGGGAACATGTATTAAATATACATACTAGTGGTCCCTTGTCTGTCAGTACAGGGAACATGTATTAAATATACATACTGTCATTATTTATATATTTCAAATCATTACTTAACTTATTAAGATTAGTAAACTCCTGTTTATGGTTAAACATTTATTGTTCACTAAGTCATGGGTACAATACATGTACACTCTATGAGGTGTTGTACACTATAATTACAAATCGGGCTTCATACAATGTATAGTGTTTTAAACCCTTTAGTAAAAACACCCTTCTGATTGAGTTTCTTATTTAAAGCTTCTAACAATTAAATCTTTCTACAACCTAACTTTAACTAGAACACTGACAGGTCAGTAAGGGCCCCGTCTTGTGGCAATATATCCCCCATAATCATCAAGAAGCAATCTGCCCATATATAGCTGAGCTTGACGTTTGACATTTGGACTTCAAAAAGAATCGCAAGGAAGCAAAATATACATTTTACATGTACTATGATGTGAGTCTTGTTTCCTTCCACCTCCATATTTGCTGGGCTAACAGAAATGTAAATACCGGTGCAATACTCATTTGTTAGCTTTGATTTGTTTTATTTCACCTTATATACCTCCTCCATCAAGAGCCAGGGTCAAAGTCAGAGATCCACTTTGTCTTTGACCTTTGGACCCAAATGACCTTGACCATTAACCCAGTGACCCTGATCTTTGGTCAGTTGACTTATTCTTTAATTCTGACCAAATTTGCTTCTTAATATCATAACAAAATGTTCATCAGTGAAAAATACAAAACTTGACCTTGACCCTTTGGACCCCGTAACCTGGACCTAAGATCTCTGATACGGGGCCCTAATTAGGTATCTGTTAACAAGAGACCTGGTTACTGATCATTACCTTTTATAGATACATTAAGTAATCAATCCCTAATAGATGAGTTATACATCCCTTTATACCTAATTCTCCTGAGGCTATTTTTCCGCTTCCTTGTCAGTAAACCTATGTATGTATAGTGTAAATGTATATATTTAGCAGAACTTCTATAAGTATCAGTTATCGTTAAGTATCAATCTAAATTATTTTTATGATCACACTAAAATTGAGGTTTCTGTATAGATCTATTTTTATAGTGCTGAATATTTCAGGGTGCTAAAATAAGTATATTTACAGTATGGGACAACATAAAGGTCTCTAAAGAAGATTGGAATTTTCTTATCTGAAGAACATTGGACATATCCTGTCTAAAAAACACAAGAAATTTCTTAACATAAAAATTCCTCATTTAATTTACCTTTTGTATGTCTTCCACAACTGTAACCCAGAGTCTGTTTCCCCGAGTCTACTGATAAATACGTATACACTCTCTGACACATCACTTCAAATACATCGAAGTACTCTTTATTTACCTTCATCATTCGTTGATTGAGTCCGTGTCCGGTAACTTGTTGGTCTTGCTGCCCCGATCCCAATCGCACGGAATTCAGGTGGGGCAGGTCTGGGAGGTGGGTCCGACGGAGTCCTCTTGTGTGTTGGTTTCTGAGAGAACGGCTCCGAGGAGTTCCGGCTATGACCGGGACCTATACCTACAGGGACAGCTGGCTGTTTTTTGTTCCTCGGGGGCAGGGGCGGGACATATGGTGGAGCATTAGAGTAGGAGGAGTCCTGTGTCTCGGTTACAGGGGGCGTGGTCTGAACTCCACCCCCGTTTGTGGTCCCGGTATTGTTGTGGATACTAAGGGTGTCTACAAACCAAAATAAAACCATTTCTTTAATAGATTCAAATTTAATGTACATGAAAAAACTTTTGCCAAAGGTAAAAAAAAAATCCTGTCAAATTTAATTATATACACATAAATTTGTATACTGTAGTTTTAAATACTGCCATAAACGATCACAGATGGTAAGCTGTTAAATAGGAGTTTTAATACCCAGAAACAATGCTGAGGTACCTATACAGAGTAACTGATAATGATGAACAGAAATGATACTCTGGTCAATGTTAATTTGATAACAACTATTCTTAACCCATTTTGTCAGAAACAATGTTGGTATAACTTCACATTAAGCACATGTTGTAAATTCATCACACAAACAATGATTCCTACCATAGGCACTCCATGCTGAAACAAGGGAGAGTAGTGTTGGGG